ACACACTCTTGTGTGTTACAGCCTGCTCAGTGTTTTATAACTAAGGTGTCACTTTATTTTTAAGCTCATTTAATAAGACAAGTTGAACCAGAACAGACTCATTTGGAGCAGCATAGAAACACATACAGTACACACATGGATCACTGTGTAGAGCTATGGGCAGCTTCTGCACAACTTCTATAATTAATTAAAGTCCCACTCCAGAAACATTTTCATTTTTATATTTGTATATAAAAATACTTTACTATAAACAATATGCAGTCTAACACAGCTTTTCCTCAAAAAAATTTCAGTGGGCCTCTGTAATAGGAATGAACATTGCCCCTCATTGTGCATTCCAGGATCTATGAATGTTGCCGTCATCCCTTATGTGGATTTGAATAATTTTGCACGCCCAATTTTTCAGTTTTTTTATTTGTTAAAAAAGTTTGAAATATCCAATAAATTTCGTTCCACTTCATGATTGTGTCCCACTTGTTGTTGATTCTTCACAAAAAATTACAGTTTTATATCTTTATGTTTGAAGCCTGAAATGTGGCAAAAGGTCGCAAAGTTCAAGGGGGCCGAATACTTTCGCAAGGCACTGTATACACTAGCAGTGGAATTTACTGCGATGCAACGGGGCGCCACCTGAAATCTTGCCTAGGGCGCCGAATTGAATAGGGCCGGGCCTGACTGGTTGCATTATACAGTTACACAGCTCCTAATCCTTGTGGTGAGTCAGCATTTTTTTGTCATGCGTTTGAATTACTTTCTGCTTCAAACGCTAGGAAAAGAAACCAAACATGCCAAACTGCATTATTTACGCTATATTACGGTGTTATGTTTGTGCTCATGTCACTTGTTTTTAGTTTCAGATCTGAAAGCGCAATAAAAAAAAAAAACAGTATCATAAAATAAACCAAATAGATTTTATTAAGAGAGCAGAGGATCAACGAGCGCAACAAAATATATTTATAGAATTTGTCTCAAAAGTTACTGGTTTAAGACCCTATTGGTGCGCATGGAGAACAGACACTGCATCATAAATAAACATTACAGTTTTGGTATGTGCTAAGAATATACTGGATATTAGGCCTTGGTTTAATTAATAAGGTTTCTATCTCCAAAGCAAGAGTGGTTTCCTTTAATTAATATTCTCATAACACTATGAATATATTATATTAAATTTTGGTTTATTTTCTGACTATGTAATTGTACTGGCACATTAATGCGTATTCATCTGCATACAATATGGTGTAATGTTGTGCCATTGCAAGTGCCAACCAGCAGTTTGACTAAAACCTCAAATCACTGTTTTCTTCAACCATCCTTGTGCACACAGAGTAGAAATAAAGCTCTAACAAAACCTCATAGCTCTTTTTGTATTTATTTCTGCTAGCTTCACATCATTATTACATATAAGGCTTTGTGTAAAGATGAGATTAATCCAACCTGGGTTTTTTTTTTTTTTTTGCTTGTGGTCCTTTCACACAGTCATGCCTTCTTGTAACCCCTTATTACAGGTTGCATTTCTGAGTTGTGAGTAGTTCAGTCAACACAAATATTAAATTTGATCTGTCTTTAGTGTCCCAAAGTCATAACAATATGCAGTATTTACCAGGCAACACAAAAATGAGAAAACCATGGTGATTTATTTTGTGAGTCCTAGTTAGCACTTTTCTAGACTACAATGGGAATCAATATTTTGTGAGTGTATTATTCACTATACTGTATATATAATTATAGTTTGTATGGGATAATGTAAGGTATTAATCGCTCTACAACAACCTCAACCTCAATATCTACCTCTCCACAAGTAATATTATACTGTACTTACCAATTATTACTATGCCTGTCATCCAAGTATTGCGTTCCCACACTTTGAATCCAGAGATTTTTCTACCCAGAAGGATGAATCACAGTGTCTCATTTTAAGCTCTAGCACTCACTTAAGAATTTTATGATTCATCCACACATATACAGCATATTTCAATATGACGGAAATTGATTTTCCATGTCTTTTAACCATTTTCATTATAAGATCTCTGTCTCATGAATAGCTCAGGACAAAATAATAACACTCATCTTTTTTAAATATAAGTATTGCCAACCAGTATTTGCACTTGAAAAATGTTTTGTTGAAAGACAATACACATAATAGACAAAAAGATGATTAGAACATTGATGCATTTTATTATGAAAACAATGCAACACATTAATGTGCTGAAATTGTAAATGATGGATTAAGGGACTCCTTCTCCTTCTATCCAGAGAAACAAATGAGAATAATCTTGGTAATCCTCCCAGAAGGTTTGCACGCCATTTTTATCAGGTCTGCTTTGTCCGCTATGCAGGTTTACAAATAGACCGTCACTGGTCTGGGGTGGACCCAAACTTTATCCACTGATGCTTGGAGAGACAGAGAAAGGAAGGGAAAGGCCAATGGAAAATGGATAAACTATCAGTGATAGAGTTATCAGCCATCCATTATGGGATTAAAGGTATTGAGGAAGATCTTTCTCCACCACCTAGACAGAAAGAAAGAGTAGAATGTGGGCTCTAATGTTAATCTTAATTAAAGTGTAGTAATACTGTAACACGTAAAAATCTTTACTGTACACTGTATTTGCAGTTACAACTATAGTAACATATCACATTTTTATGAATTATGAGTTAGAGATAACATCAGTTCAAATAAAAGGTAATTACTCAACTCTTGTTGAACTCTTGTCTTCTCTTCTTGCCCTGTTGTTTACTGACTTACAGTAAATTATTTGTCCTTTTTGCTTTAACTCATTGATATTTGCAGCATAACAATGTTATTCTAATAATGTTACTGTATACCTGGCCATTTTCTCATAGTAAAAGCAAATGATTAGTACAAAAAAGAAGAGCTCTTCCCATTGTCAACATCTATCTAAAGGCAAATAATTCCATAGTCACATAGATAAAAAAATAAAAGAATATGCAAATTGTACTGCAGTCAAGCTACTGTATATAAACTGTAGTATCTGAAATAATGTAAGATGGTTGTACATACACTTGGATCATCCAGGGGTCCATATCTCTTCACCACCTGCCCCTCTCTATTGATCAAAAACTAGAGAGGAAGTAAGAAAGAAAACGGTTATATTTTGTTGTTATCAGTTATCTGTTCCGTTTTACTATTCACATAAAACAATTCATGGAAAGTATTTACAGGCTTCTTCTAATAATTATTTTGTACCTTCAGATATAGTACAGTATGGGTCTGATAATAGTAATCACACCATGGCACCAGGCATCTTAGCACTGATGCACAAAATTACAAAAACAGATGATTAAATGTTCAAGCCATCAATTCTTGCCTGAATACATATTAAGTATTATATTTTTACCTTAGTGAAATTCCACTTGATACTACTGCAGGAAAGAAACAAAGAAACAAATTGCTTGTTAGAAAATAATCACTGAATGAACACTATAATTCAGTTAAAAACATATCTACCAATTTGCTGCTTGGTTTCATTACAATGTGAATATGACAAATATAACTGACCCTCACAGGTCTTTGTTTCATAATAAGCTAAATGTCACTCATTTGTTCGTCACATACTTTCCCAGGAAGCCCCTCCCATTGGGCTGCTCCTTCAGCCACTTCCACAGAGGGTGAGCATTGTCCCCGTTCACATCGATTTTACTGAACAGGTCAAACTGGGCATTGTATGACTCAGCAAACTGCTTGATCTGAGTTTCGTTGCCTGGCTCCTACAAAGTAAAACGTGAGAAATCACGAAACTGATCAACACTATTGAAACCTGATCAGTGCCATCATAATCTCTGGTTTGTTCTAGCATGGAGTTTAAATAAAACACTGTTATTATACCTGATTCCCAAACTGGTTAGAAGGGAAGGCGAGGATGCTCAAATTTCTCTCAGCATACATGGCGTGCATTTCTGCAAACTGAGAGTAATTCACTGGGGTTTTACCTCATTTGGAGGCAACATTGGTGATAATGACAACATTCCCCCTGAAAATATAAAAAAAAATGTCCATAATGTTTTAGTGATGGTAGGCTTCTAACAGGACACTGCAGGAAAATTACAGAGAGGTTATGTCATGGATAGATTCACCTGTATTTCTCCAGGGAAACCACATTGCCATCGATATCTGTCGCTGAGAAGTCATAAATAGATGTGGCCCTCTGCCAATCCTCTGTCAGGCCAGACTGTTAGGAAAAAATAGGGGTTAGAACAAGAGTTGACCCATGACCCCGTTTGGGACTAAGCGGTATAGAAAATGGATGGATGGAACAAGAGTTGAGTAATGGCTGCTGCTTTCTAAAGTATACAAACAAATCACACTGTGATCCTGCAGCATGACTGTTACATAACAAGAAATATATTCCAGGTCATACAGCTTTGATACAGCACTCATTAGGATTATCTTTAAAACTAAAGATTGTCTCTCTGGATGCAACTTACTAAAAACAAACATACAAATACATTCAAATAAAATACAAATATAACAAAAATTTGATTGAAACCCACGAAAAGCACCTCCAGTTTCCAGTGCCTGCAAGGTACTATTACCATTGATGAATTCAGTTCAACAAAATTTGACATGAACTAAAAACAAGTTGCAGTCCTGCGACATAAACCATTATTTCACTTCTAATTTTTTCTTACCATTGCCTGCAGCAGGAAAGAGAAAAGGACAGTGGACTGTATCAGGTTCATGAGTGCCCTTAAGTAAGGTACCCTGAAGGCAGAAAATGGTCAGATCTTTAAACTGGAGTTGCTTCAACTACACCCTGTCTATTGAACCATTGTCCTGCTACACAATCCAGTGTCCTCATATAAAGAGGAAAGGTGATCATTAACAGAAATTCTTGGTCCTGCCTGCTGCTGACTGATAGATCCGCCTACAAAACATGCACTGCAGTCCAAAAGTCCACAACACTATTGGAGAACATAAAGAACTTATTATGCAATGTGATTAATATCTGCAGGAAAAACAAGTTGCATCAGAGAATCAACCAGATTTTCAGCACACAAAATCTCCTAAATCTCACTCAGACATCAAAGTTACAATGGCTACTATTTAAATTGTATAATAAATTAAATACATGACCAATACTTGGGTGTTGTTAAGGTTTTTTAATACTTGTAAGCCAAAAAAAACATTTTTAATTTTACCAAATATTAATAAATCAGGAAAACAAGGAACATGAAACTCAAGCAGACTGATTAGTCATAACAGATAACAATAGGAACAAAAAGCAATGGGATTTGTGTGATTTAAACAGCTGACTGTGGAGATTACACTTCACTAAACGTAGCAGAGGGTAAAAATAGACATGAAGCATTAAAAAAACGCAAGGTTTCTACCAGAGACGCACGTCTCAAGGACTCAGTGTGACTTGTTTGATATAATGGGATTCTATCTGCAGTGTGAGACAGACGTTGAAAACGCTTCCAAAAAGGCTTTCAGTGTGTTTTACCAGTTACGCAACTCAATTCACGTTACCGTTCAAATAAAAACAAAAGTACAATACCACTGACAGTAGTACTCCACTGCTTGCCACATCCCCAGATATCGAATATATGTAACAGCCTCGTTTTGTGAGAAACTGAATTATTATTATTATTATTATGTTTGTCATCCTACACACCACCATCCGATGCTGTCTGGCTACACTTTCTCCTAACACCACTTTGCAGTCACTAATCTCTCTCAGATTGCCTCGTCTGCATAGAATGTAGTCTACCTGCATACTCCTACCTCCACTCTTACATATAAGAGCAACATGTGTATGAACAAGAGGAAGAGAAGTGGAACAGTGAGGTTACAGGGGCCTGAGGTCAAGAAGGTGCAGGAGTTTAAGTATTTGGGGTCAACAGTCCAGTGTGATGGGGAGTGTAGGAAAGAGGTGAAGAGGCGAGTGCAGGCAGGTTGGAGTGGGTGGAGAAAGGTGTCAGGAGTGTTGTGTGACAGAAGAGTGTCAGCAAGAATCAAAGGAAAGGTGTACAAGACAGTAGTGAGACCAGCTATGCTGTATGGGTTAGAGACTGTAGCAGTGAGGAAAAGACAAGAGGCAGAGATGGACGTAGCAGAGAGGAGGATGTTGAGGTTCTCGTTAGGAGTGACCAGGATGGACAGGATTAGGAATGAGCACATCAGAGCGACAGCTCAGGTCGGCTATTTTGGGGACAAGGTCAGAGAGGCCAGATTGAGATGGTTTGGACATGTGCAGAGGAGGGATAGTGGTTATATTGGTAGAAGGATGTTGGAGATGGAGCTGCCAGGCAAGAGGTCAAGAGGAAGGCCAAAGAGGAGATATATGGATGTGCTAAAAGAGGACATGAAGTTAATTGGGGTGAGAGTAGAGGATGCCGAGGATAGAGTTAGGTGGAAACAGATGATTCGCTGTGGCAACCCCTAACAGGAACAGCCGAAAGAAGAAGAAGATTATTATTATTATGTTTTGCTCAAACCCCTCCTACCTCGTGCTGACGTCATCAGTCTGTGTCAGTAAACGAAAACGTGCGACGGATCGTCCGCTGAAGTGAGAGTGATAAACAACAGTTTAAGTTAGACTTATATCTAGCGCAAGGTAAATATTAGAACAGTATGGATGATGAAGAGGAAACATACAGACTATGGAAGATTCGAAAAACTATCATGCAGGTGCGTTAGGTTTGAGCGCTCTTTAGTTCGTTAGCTTAGCATGTAGCTTAGCTGAAACTGGCTTTCCGTTCTCTAATGTGGGAATGAGGGGTTTTGCTGTTTTTGTCGTCAGTGTTGGGTAGTTTGTGGGCTGTGTATGTATAAGCTGTTTATTTATAAGCCGGGTTTTTGTCGAATAACTCAAGTTCCTACTTGTTTGGAGAATAACTGAGTTGATAGGAAAGATACAAATTAAAGGATATGACTTCAGGAGGCACTACTAAAAAATACAAATCTTTCTAGTGGCTAATCTGTTTTGCTAAGATTGTGGTTTGTTCCGTGCGCTCTCTAACTGTATAGCCTCATGCCTGTGCCCTCAGCTGTGCCATGATAGAGGCTACCTAGTGACACAGGACGAGTTGGACCAGACCCTGGAAGAGTTCAAGAGTCAGTTTGGCGACAAGCCCAGCGAAGGTCGCCCCAGACGCACAGACCTCACAGTGCTGGTGGCACACAACGATGACCCCACCGACCAGATGTTTGTTTTCTTTCCTGGTAGGTTAATATCTAATGTTAGATTTGGTTGTGTTTTGCACAGATTGTCCAAGGATTAAAGATGAGGTCAGTATAGTAGCTTTTTGTTAGTACAACTTTCATGTTTGTGATAATGTGGATTATTTAACTTTTTAGAGGAACCTAAGGTGGGAATCAAGACAATTAAGATGTACTGTCAGAGGATGCAGGAAGAGAACATCACACGAGCCATCATTGTTGTTCAGATGGGCATGACACCCTCAGCCAAACAGGTAAACACCAATTGAAGGTTAATCTGGTACAAAAATTATGATGAAAAGTCATGTTTCTTGTATTTATGCTGTGACTATCTTGTTGCCATTTCATTTTCTTTCTGTGTGGATGTTCTCTTTGCAAAACTATATATGGAAACATTTCCTTACAGTCTCTAGTTGACATGGCGCCCAAATACATATTGGAGCAGTTTTTACAACAGGAGCTGCTTATTAACATCACAGAGCATGAGGTAAACAACATACTTATTAATCTGTTGACTGTATATTTCAAAATGACCTCTCAGACTGTACCTCAGATGTACTATTTAGTTTGATGCATTTTTTCTTTGTCCTTCAGCTTGTTCCAGAGCACAATGTTATGACAAAAGAGGAAGTGACTGAACTTCTGGCAAGATAGTATCCTTAAATGCTCAGCAGTACTGACAATAATTCAGTTTAAATATATTTAAGAGATTTACCTGTTGAAAATGCCCTTGGTCATGTTATTAAAGTATAAAATTGCTGTTGATTTAGGCAGTGGTGGATGAAGTACTCAGATTGTTTACTTAAGTAAAAGTAGCAATTCACTAGTGTAAAAATACTCTGCTTGCATTCAAAATGTTACTTATGTACAAAAGTATTAGCAGAAAATATACTTAAAGTACCCAAAGTACAAGTACTCATTATGCAAAATGACACAGTTTATATTTACATACATCATATTATTTCATTATGATTATTGTGCACATCACATTTAATGTTGCAGCTGGTAAAGGTAGAGTTAATTTTAACTACAACCCCAAATCAGAAAAAGTTGGGATGCTATGTAAAAAAATTGAAAACAATACAGCAGCACTTTACTTGATGTCATACCTCATCAATTTTATTCTTTGTTCAAAATAAACACTCACTCCAATTCTGATGCCCACAACACATTCAGAAATCATGATTTAATCACCTGCTGATGTCATCATCATTTTATTGTTTTACCTCATTGCTAAATCTGAAATGCAACCATCCTAACTTGATTTGGGGTTGTACCTTATATGCTTATAATATGAATTACTGCTGGGTAGCTAGTGAATTTTACACCAAGGGTCAATACATTTTGTAATTATACTGTTTTTGTTTTTTGTTTTTTTATTAACCTGTTTCAGAAAAATAACTAGTAACTAAAGTTATAAAAGATATGTAGTGAGTTCAAAGTACAGTATTTATTTCTGAAATGTAGTGAAGTCAAAGTATGAAGTAGCAGAAAATAAAAATGCTTAAGTACAGATACCTCAAAATTGTACTTTAGTACAGTACTTAAATAAATGTACTTAGGTACTCTCCACCTCTGGATTTAGGTAAAGACAACCGACCAATAAACCTCAACTCTTCAAGCAAATGAGCACCATATGTTATGCCTCCTTAACATTTTTACCTCAGTAAATTGAAAGAGAGCCAGCTCCCAAGGATCCAGGCTGGGGACCCTGTGGCTCGCTACTTTGGCTTGAAAAGAGGACAGGTAAGTCATCTGCATTTTATTATGCGGTATTGGCTACATGTTGTTGTGTATTTGATCTTGGGCTGGTCATTTAATAAACTAGTTTTCAGTAAGAGCTCGTGATCACTGAAAATGCACCTTGGCTGGCTATCATTCCAAAAATATTGATGTCAATATCAATACCTTGACTTCGATACCCATTCCATAGCTTTTAAGTTTTGTTAACATTAACATCAATAAATAAAAATGTAGAAAAGCATTTTTTGATACTCGATGGTATTGAAGTAATTTGATCAATGCCATAAAAGTATTGAAGTTCGATACCCAGCATTAGTTGCGCCATCACAGTTACTCATGTACAGTTGAAGTCAGAAGTTTTCATACACCTTAGCCAAATATATTTGAACTCAGTTTTTCATAAATCCTGACAATTAATCCTATAAACATTCCCTGTCTTTGGTGAGTTAGGATCACCACTTTATTTTAAGAATGTGAAATGTCAGATTAATATGAGAAAAAAAAAATGTATTTCAGCTTTTATTTCTTTCATCACATTCCCAGTGGGCCAGAGGTTTACACACACTCAGTTAGTATTTGGTAGCATTGGCTTTAAATTGGTTAATATGGGTCAGATGTTTCAGGATGCCTTCCACAAGCTTTTTATAAGTCACTTGAATTTGAGCCCATTCCTCCTGATAGAACTGGTGGAAATGAGTCAGGTTTGTAGGCCTCCTTGCTTGTACACACTTTTTCAGTTCGGCTCACAAATATTCTATTGGATTGAGGTCAGGGCTTGTGATGGTCACTCCAATATCCAGTACCTTGACTTTGTTGTCCTTAAGCCATGTTGCCACAACTTTAGAAGTCTGCTTGGGGTCACTGTCCATTTGGAAGACACATTTGTGACCAAGCTTTAGATTCCTGGCAGTCTTGAGATGTTGCTTTAGTATATCCACATCATCTTTGTTCCTCATGACGCCATCTATTTTGTGAAATGCCCCAGTCCCTCCTGCAACAAAGCACCCCCACGCCTCACGGCTGGGATGGTGTTCTTCTGCTTGTGAGCCTCCCCCTTTTTCTTCCTGACATAATGACGGTCATTATGGCCAAACAGTTCAATTTTTGTTTCATCAGACCAGAGGACATTTCTCCAAAAAGTAAGATCTTTGTCCCCATGTGCATCTGCAAACCTTTTTTATGGCGGTCTTGGAGCAGTGGCTTCTTACTTGCTGAGGAGTCTTTCGGGTTATGATGATATAGAACTCGTTTTACTGTGGATATAGGTACTTTGGTACCTGTTTCCTCCGGTGTCTTCACAAGGTCCTTTGTTCTTGTTCTGAGATTGATTTGTACTGTTCGGACCAAAGTACGTTCATCTCTTGAAGACAGAACTCGTTTCCTTCCTGAGTGGTATAATGGCTGCGTTGGCTTATGGTGTTTATTCTTGTGTAGTTATTGAGTGTGGTTCCTGCAGGCATTTGGAAATTGGTCCCAACAATTGATCAGACTTGTGGAGGGCCACTTTGATTTTTTTGAGTTCTTTGTTTGACATCATGGGAAAATCCAAAGAGGTACTGAGTTTGAAGCTAGGCCTTAAATTACAACCACAGCTGCACCTCTTATTGTCTCAAATGATATCAATCAGAAGCTTCTAAAGCCATGACATAACTTTCTGGAATTTTTCGAGCTGTTTAAAAGCACAGTGAACAGAATGTATGTAAACCTCTGTCCCATGGGAATTGTGATATAGTGAATGATAAGTGAAGTAATCTATTTGTAAGCAACTGTTGGGAAAATTACTTGTCATGCAAAACATACATGTCCTAACCGACTTTTCCAACTTTTCCAGGTAGTCAAGATCATCAGACCTAGTGAAACAGCTGGGAGATACATCACATACAGACTGGTCCAGTAGCAGACAGCTACATCTAAAGTTTTTAATATACTGTAGGTTGAAACTGTCATACTGACCAAAATAAGTTTGCCATATTTAAACACATACTTCTTCACAGGATCAGTGTTTAAGCATTTTTACACTTTTTGTTAAAAAATAATTTTTGCAATTGTGTGTGGTTTTAGCACAATTTTTTTCCCCGTTACTTTGGTGGTTTAGACCTTTTCCTACCGATCTACATTCTTAGGGCTGTCCAGCAATTTGCATTAGGTCATCACAGTTTGTGTATTTCAGATGGATATAAAGAAGCTGCCTCACCCAGCCAACATAATTACATGTTAAATCAGCAGTATCGAACACCGTCTGTACACGCCAAGAGGCCTAATTTACCAAAATGTGTGTGGGGACTAGAAATGTGTATTTTAAATAAAATCTTCCTTTTACATTTTATTTCCCAGATGTTATTCAAGATCACCATTCAGAACCAGTGAAGGAAATTGAAGACGCTACACTTTTCAGTTTACTTACCTATCGATTATCCTTCCTTTTTTGTTTAGATTTGAATATTTTATGCAAGCTACAGATTTGTAAAATAAATGATTCAAAATTAAATCAAGTTGTCAGTTCACGTAATCTCATCCTTCATGTAAAACAAATTAACTTCAAGCAGGTCAACAGTTTCATCTACATCAATTCGGTGTATTTCAACTCTCAAGGGTTTAGATCTTCTTCCTTTTGAAAGCCATGTAGCTGCTGTAGACTGAGGCTTTTACAACTGGCCTGCTTGTTCTGCTTATGTTACACATCAGTTACCACCCACACTGTAATAAACTGTTGGTGTCCTCCCAGTGCCAGGAAGTGAAGGTGCCTGTCAGAGAACTCATTTGACTATTTTATTCCTGCTCATATTTAAACCACTGTTCCTGTTTGTCTTTACTTCTGACTTGTAAAGTACACAAAGATATCAAAACAAGACAGATGGCATAACAAAATCAATACAAGTCTAAAAGACATTTTTATTAAAATAGACCAAATATCCATAAAGAGTAAAACAGGAAACATTTATTTAAAAAAATTATTTAAATTTTAGTGCTGAATTAAAACCAGCAGCACTTTAAGGAGAATTTTCTTATAAGGCTTGAGGTACAAAGTAACCTGACCACTTTTCCTCCCGATTGTGTAGCAGTAAGTAAACACGAATATAGAAGCTGACTAAAGTACATTTTTAATCACCGAGTCAAATGGGAGTAACTGGATCAAATAGGAAGATACAAAGGTTTCACTGCCAGGCTAGATATATACAGCCACAAACATCTCTGCAAATTAAAAAAAGTTAAATGTGATTGATATACATGATAAAAAAAAAACTCAAGTTTCAGGCTTCTCTGGATTTGAGAATGCCTAAAAACCAAATTCCTGTCACTCAACTTAAACTCAAAGGCTTCATATACACTGATATTCTGACAATCGTGTCACACAAACTCAGGCTCACTTTGCCGGTTTCTGGTCAGGGGTAGGTTCTTTCCACACAGACGTGCCAGTGGAAGCCCAGACAGATTAAAACTAGGGAAATCGGGGTAGTTGTTGTTGGACTGGTTCACATTGAGCTCGGCTAAAGTGATGCTGAGATCCTTCTCTACCCCCGTGTCATCATCTGGGGGTCTGCTGTCTGGCAGAGCAGGGGGTCCTCCTACCTCAGGATTGTTGTGGTCCTGATCTGCATCTTGCTCTAGGTCGGTGTGTATTACAGAATGGCTCGACAGGTCCAGACTGTCCCTGTAGCTCAGCTGGTCGTCGTCCATGCTCACCTCACTCTCCTGCTTCATCAGGCTGCAGGGGCGTGCTGTCCTCTGGCCACTCTCATCCAGCTCTGAGTCGGAGTCAGGGAGCTGCTCACTGGAACCCAGCAACCCGAACGAGCTGCCTGTATGGACATATCCAACTATAACTCAACAGGAGCTACAAGGATTAAGATTAAAATTTGTTGAATTTACAACAATATTGTGCAACTTGGTGTTCATGAAAATTTACCACATCCTTCCTCCAACTTGTCAGAGTCCAGTTTACTCTGCTCCTCTCTGCCGCCATCTTCTCCTTCAGCAGTGCTCCCCATGTTGTCATCAGTAATACTCCCCTGAACCAGGAAGGGGAGAAAATTGAGAGTAATGTCATGTGACAGTGTTCTTATGTTTCGGCAAATGCAAATCAGGAGGGAAGTGCTGGGTTCAAATGTTTCAGAACTACAGGTCTGGAAAGGGA